GGAGGTGAGGATTTCCTCGTCTTCTTCGTTGGCGTTGTCTTTGTTGCCGTCAGAGCGCTTGATCCGTCCGTGGACGGCGGGACCAGCGGAAGCCCTACCGGTGCAACTGGGGCCGCTGCTGCTGCTACTGCTGCTGCTGCTGCTGCTTGCCGTGGGCTTGTAGGCGAACCGCGAGAAAATTCCTCCGTCCGCAGCGCCGCCGCTGGGAGGACTCCTAGGCATATGCGGTGCCCGGCTTCTGAGTGAGCCAGCCGCCTGCAGCCACCCTGACTCCTGGACCTCCAGCGCTTACTGCTACAACTCTGGATTTTCTCTTTATCACACGTGCGCTGACACCGCACGAAAGGGGACGCGTGAGTGCTTGCTTGGGCAGAGGTGGCCCTGAGACCGAAAGAAACAAACAATTGATTCGCGGGCGCGGCGTTCGGCCTTGTAGCCTGCAGCACTCTAGAAAAGAGTCGCACGGTCAGGGAGGCGACCAGAAAAGCCACGCGGGAGAAGAAACCAACCAACCCAACGGCAGCGGGGCGCAGAAAGATGCCCACAAATGCCCGAAACAGCAGTGAGGAAGCGAGGACGAGGGGGAAGCCGGGGGGGATTAAACAGGGTGTTTCATAGTGGAACCCTTCCCGCGTTATGCCCAATTTTTTAGCTACACCTTTTTGCGGCGGGATTCGACTTGATTCATGTACATACGTGCGACATTTACCATGGGTGACATATGACATCACACCACCTGGACCGATTTTCCACGAAGCTCAGTCGTGCTCCACTACATGTCATAGCATGTAAATGACACGCTGTCTTCGGAACGCTCGGTGCTGTGCCAACGCCGCCATTTTCCGCGCCGCCACTCCCTCGGCTGTGGAGTAATCGAGCTTTGAAAATCGGCCCACCGGGGAGTGTGATATCTTAATGCCACCTACGGCATAGCACGACCGTGGAGGTTGCCCCGCGACCTTTAACACTGGGCTACTCAACGACCTACATGCAGATGCCTGTCGGTGTACGAAGATAGGCATAGTAGACTTTATAGCTCTTTTCTTATCTACCCCGGGCGATGGATGAAGCATTCACACACGGTGCGCTCGCTCTCCCACACGACTGATTTTGGAAAAGTACGCCGGATGTGCTATAAACTAACTGCGCTGGCAGTTTGCTGTGTACAGCAGGACGAGATCTGTGCATATTCTCCCATCGCATGTGTACGTTCAACAGCGTCGTGTTGGTCGAGACTACAGACTGTACAGGCATCCAGCACCGAAAATAATGTAGCAGCTGCGGCGTGCAACTGCTGTACTTCGTTGTCCAGGCAAACACTTACGGTCTATTTGGCCACGTGCTGAAACGCTTGGTTAAGCTCTCTGTGTCAGCCAGAAGGAGGCCTCGATCTGTGTGCACACCCATCTAGTTAAACACCCCGAACCCTGAACCATCCCCTCTCGGTACAAAGTGCAGTATCTAGGAACACCTCCGTCATGCGTCGCGGGGTGAACAAATTTGAATTCGCACCCCTGACCGCGCAAGGTCTGACTTGTTGATCTCGCTCAAACCCGCTCTACTACACGCGCCGCACAAACCGGCATCACTCAACACAATGTCAGGGCTTCTGCAGGTCTGCTCTCCACACGGGGAAGCTACAGGAGGTAGGTGCCCGCAAGCAGACGATGTGATGGTCAGGCATCAATCAGGGTCGTCGTGTCGTGGTTCGCTCAAAAGCTAAGGAGTTGTGTGCGACCTGCACACCCAGTCCGTGCATGCTTGCGAAGGGCGCGTCACACCACAGCTACATCCAAAGCCTCTCATCTTGCAAGTGCGTCTTAAAATGGTTCCTACAGCAGTCGTAGGACGTACTCACCTCACGCTCTAGAGGGTTGTGGTTCTGCAAGGCCTGTGCGGGCAAGAGCCCCTTGTTGGTACGTTGGTACGTTGTGGGGGTTCCGTGGCTGGAACAAGGGTATCTAGCCCCCTACGTAGCCCCATTTTTTCTCTCAAGCTCGTCAAAGACTATAATAACCTGGTTATTACAGCAGTCATAGTCTTTGATGCTCGTGGCATATGCTGCTCCCCGCTCGGCCTGTTGCGTGGATCCTTTCGTGTTTTCGTACAAGTACAAATATAGTATGCATATAAAAATGGCTACTCGTATGCAATAATAAGGGTGGCAAAGGATACACGCACCGTTCGTTAGCTGCGCCTTAGTTAGGCTCCCAAACGGTTGGTAGTCGATCCATGAATTACTGAATGATCACACACCAAGAACAAGAAATGGAACATTTCGAAAAGAACCCCCAGGGATCCTTCGACGACGACAGACATCGTTTGTCTGCACAACACAGCCGTATGCACAACTTTCCCAGTGTTTTGTAGGAGAGGCGGGTCGATTCGGACCTACCCTCCATATTGTATTCACAAAGAACCGTCGTGCGTGTGTGGTTTTGTCCTACAGTAATATCTATCCTGGGCGCCAGTCTACACCCTTCGTGCATGTTCGAGGCACGACGGCCGCGAGGGTCGCATGTGCGCATGTGTACAGTAGTAGACCTTTTTTCTCCAAGCCGCAGCTTCTTCCTTGTTGTGCTTGCCTTCATTCTTTAACGCTGGAAAGGATAAGCAGTTCCTTCCCTCTTGTTGCGTTTACTCACAACCATGCGAATTCCTCAAATCGCCGAGGTTATGATGAATAGGTGCGTGTGGCTTTTTTCAAGTGGGATCTCACCGCAGAGACCGTTCCGCACGTTCCTCAGTTTCCCCCCGGTCTCCCTTCCTCCACCCTTAACCTATCACACCCATCAACCATCAGAACCACACCATCAGGTCGCCCGTCAAAGGACTGCACCATTGAGGGCTGAAAAGTAATCCGCCAGCTTGCGACGTGGTCTGACTCTCGAGGGGTGGATTTGTTGTACATTGATTGTTGCACTGCTGCTGTAGATCGACTAAATACATAAATGGAAGCCGTTTCCAAGGCATCTGCCGTTCCAGCGGCGGATGCTGCCTGTACGTCGTACGTGACCATCATTCTCGACATCACCGGTGAGTTTCGGGTGGCGCATCGCCCTCCCTAGACTACTCTTGCGCTGGCCTCTCTACTACAAGATAACCTCACAGCACCCCTGCACCACGGCCGCCTATGCATACATACGCTGCCGCCTCTATCTGCCGCAGAGGATCCGCGCTTGAGACCAACAACGTGTAAACTACTGATAGTCCTTGTCGTCTTCGTTTTGCTTTGAATGACGAAGAAGTGGAAAAGAACCACGAGAGATGAAAGATGAGTGAAGATGGAAACATACGATACAGACTAACTCTTAAATCCATTGATGATTTTGGGGGGTTTTGAGGCCAAGTCCACTCCGCTGCATTGTTCGGCGTTCGGCATTCCCTCCTCGTTCTTTCAGGTTCCATGGGATCTCAGATAGAGGGCGTCAAGAGGGCAGTCCGAGAGCTCATCCCTCTGCTCGCTGAAAATCCCAACCTGGGCATCGTCATCGTTACCTTTACAGAGGGTGGCAGGTTTGTGTGTGTTTTTGTTGTTGTTTCGGTGAGCGGGGTTGTTTTTCAGACCTATCCGCTGATGGATCTGCCTCTGTCAATTGTGAAGGCTTCCACGTCTCCTCCGCATAATATATGAGCTAAGGACAGTCGTGTCGGATACCTACAAGGTCGAATCAATTCTTGTTTCCGAAAATGGATTTGAGGGCGCAACGGTAATGGAGCAGCAGGGGTACCGTGGTGTTGTATGAAAGACCGTTGTAGATGGCCTTCTTGCTACGTATAGACAGTGTGTTCGGACGCTTTGTCTCCTTCTTTCCGATAACGTGGAGGCGTGTGCAAAGTGCAAATAGCCGTAGTCAACCGTTACTGTAGCCGATTTGATAGTTAGCACTCGTATGGCAGAAACCCTTTGACCATTTTCCAAGACTCGTTCCGAGTGTTGACAACAGCACAATATACCAGTAGCGATCATGCGCTGGTTTATCAAAAGTGAGGGCCAGAGGTAAGCATCTTCAGTTTCTCTCAGACCTTGTTATTAACATCAAGCCAGTGATTCAACGACGTCAGGGCATAGAGAATGGTATCTAATAACTACATTTCCTGCGACTGCGTGTGCTTATGTTGTCGTGCCCTCTTTTCTTGGTGACAGCGGCAAGACGTCCGGAGGACCCCGGTGCTACGTTTCAGTGAACATTTTCTCCGATCCGACCAAGGCGGACACGTTCGTGCGGAAGATCACACTCTCCACGCCTCCCGGTCAGTGCATACATACATGCGAAAGAGACGGGACTGAGGGGCACGCCTTGGCTCTTGCGGCCGATCATGACGCTCTCTTCAAACTAACGAATCATAAGTCGCTGCTCCGTCGTTGTCCTTCTCCAACAAAAAACAGGCCATCCTGGTGTCAACGCGTACGGTGACGACGGCGACGAGAATGCTAAGGCCGCTCTGTACGCCCTGAAGGAGCTAGACGGCACCAAACCGACGGTGGCGTTCTTCATCACGGACGCGGGGTACCACCGGACCAAGCGGGACTCACCTACGGCTAAGGCTGAGGAAGACTTCCTGGTGGCAAAGGGCGTGTCGGACACGGACTTCTACGCGCTTTTCGACTCGGTGGGTGGTGGATGTTGAAGTAGATGTGGCCTTTGTTGTTGTTGTTGTTGTTGATGTTGATGTTGTGATCTTCGGGGTGGTGTGGTCGTGGTGGTGATGGTTTCTGTAGGTGAAGGCAGGAAAAGCTGAAAGTTTTTGGAAAAGGGAAGGAGTAAGACCAAGCTCTGGCAACACGCGAACACAAACTTAAAATACAAACGTATGGGAGAGTTAAGGCGAGTGCATCACCTGAACGTATGCATACAGAGAGTCTCAAAATCCAGGTACCTTTTCCGATTGAAAACAGCCACGCAATATTTCGCGAGACAGAGGGCGAAGGGTGCACACGCCAGGTTTCATTGCGAATTATTTCTTGTTCGGATACGCCTCGAAGGAGCCGATAATTTTTTTCCAGGACTGACTGCACACTACTAGCGGAGCAGAGTCTCCCGTTAACCATCTCTTGCTCCTTGCTGCTGTATATGTGCCCATTTTCAGGTGCTGTCTCACTTTGGTGGGAACTTGGTTGTGGTTCCGATCGTATACAACTTCGCAGGGCAGAGGGCGCACACCAAGCAAGCTTATGGTCAGGTGAGATCATAAATGGCCACGCTACAGCGGGCATGGACAATATCGAAGCAGCGTGCGTTGATTCATTAACCAAGTAGCGATAATGCACATCTGTCTGTATCCCTTCATGAATGCCTTTTTTAAGCCTCTGATCTATTTCTCCCCGCGGTGTCGCAATATCTCTGTCGTAGATGGCAATGACCAGCGGAAGCGGGGTTGTAATCGAGCCGGTCCGCATTTCGGCGGGGACTCTCGCGCTGACCATGGCCACTTTCGTCACGAGGCTTCTGGGCCAGCTGAACGGACAGACCGACCTGCCGCCCGAACCTCCTCAGGTGAACCTCGATGCAAATAAGAAGAAAATAAGTTTTTTTTTGGCTTCCGTTGTTGAAAATCCTTTCGCAACACTACGTCGCGAAGAAGAATGAATCAAGCGCCGCAGTGAGTGTTTCTCCTGTTTTTTTCGTGTTTCGCAGGAGATGCTAGCCGGCCTCCGTCTTCTCGACACCAGCGGAATGAACAGGATCGTGAGGGACGACCACACGCCCCCTGGACCTTATCCTCGGTGGGTGGTTGATTGGTCAAACTTGCCACACATGTAACCACATGGGATGTGCTACGTACTCTGGTTAGGCCTGCGCCGTCGAAATAGCCAATGAAACATGTGTATTGGTGGTGTGAATAGGCTCGGGCTCGGGAGGTAACGCCATGCGCGGCCTTTTTATTAGTTGACTTGGCGCAAAGCCAATGCTTCCTTCCCTTCCCCTTGCAGGGTTCTGGGGAAACGAGCTCCTCGTAATTAAGTGCAGGGTATACTATTATATTTCGCTGAACGTATGTACGCACGCTGCCAAGGCTTCGAAGAGAAGCCATGGGGAGTGCATTGCGTGCATCAACTGACGGACGTTCCGCGTGCGCACACCCTCGCTCCGCTCCTTCCGCCGCTCTTCGTGCCGCTGCCGCTGTTCGTATGCGGCCATGTTGTTTGCCGATTCATAGAGAGGGTGACGCAGGGGTCCTGTTCGAGTCGGCCATGACACGAGCGGTGACCGCGTTCAAGATGTCCTGGAAGCGATGCATCGACGTCGACAAGGTATGTGTGTGTGTAAATGAACCAATCAATGCCGCGTTCTTGGTGTTGTGTGGGGTTGGAGTTGGTGTGTTTGGATACCACTTGTGCACGACAATGCAGCAAAGGAAAACCTAGAATCTTGGGAGATACCAGCACGAATATGTTGTTCTCTGAGTTTCCCCGGTCAACAACCCAATTGGTACGGTATTCGTGCACCCCTCGATATCCTACTTCCGTTCCAACCCCCCTGCAATCTTCTGTTTTTGCACTTACGTCTCTACCCCCCCGCCCTCCGTCCCCCGATCCCCCCCCGCCCCCGTCCCTCCTGTCTCTCTCTCCCTCCCTCCCCCCCTCCCTCCCTCTCTCTCTCTCTCCGTCGAACCTTGTTTTTCCAAATGAAACTGCTTTGCAATCAATTATAAATGAAAACAGATTTCGCTTCTGCGACAGCTTGTGTTTGGTCTCACCGCCGCCAAGTATGTGCTTGCGGTCACCTCCGGTGACCCCATTTCTACAGACCTCTTGGACAGGTAAGCAAGACTGATGATGTCTTCTTTATTCTCTCTGTTGTGTTTCACGTCCAGCTGCTTGATTTGACTCAGAGGGGGATCCCGAAGGTCTACCTTGTATTGCAGCAACCTTGCCAACAACTCGGTGCGTGCTGACTGCGTTCTACTACGATTATCATGAGGCAAACTGCTGTGAGCACATGCATCACGATCACAAGGAGTGATAGTGAACAAATAGGTCTGGCCGTGTTGGTTGGTTGCCTGCCCGCTTGGTCGAGCTATGCTTTATGTTCGTTGTCGCTGAAGTTGTTGTGTACCTGGCGTGGTTCGTCTCCGCTTACACACGGCAGGCCATTCGTTCTCATCCCATTTTGTCACCAACGACTACATCGCATGCATGGTATATGGGTCGACGGTTAGGTTGGCCCCGACAAGCGCGGTTTTTCATTCGGTTACAGCGGGTACGGCCGACATTGGACCCATATCTCGACCTGTCTGTAGTGTTCCTGTTCGCCTTGAAACACCCCCATTGTTCTTTTGGTCGACTGCGCAGGCTGAAGCGCAGCTACCCCGAGATGCTAGAACAAGTGCCCAAGGAGCACCGGGGACAGATCAAGGCCACCCCAGAGGTCAAGATAAAAGACTGACAGACATATTGATTGATCAACAGATGAATTAAACAAGACCGATACAGGGCCAAACACGCAAGAGAATAAGGCCTAGACGTATGGATAGATTCATGGGTCGTCGATGATAGACATAGGGCCTCCGTTGTTTTCATCACGAGTACTTTGCCACATCATAGAAATTTGTACGGGCGTCTTTCCGAGCAGAAACCCATGTAAAACATCCGACAGGCCATGAGAGCAATCGTCTGGCCTAAAATCAATAACGTTAGTGCTTGTAGGTGTCAGAAACGACGTCACCTCCCCTGGTGATGGTGTAGTAAGCAAGAGTATCTTCATCACAATATCGAGCAGAAATTGGACACCCAAACGTTGGGGACGTCTCCATTGCAAGGAGGTGGTACTGCCTCCGCCTCGCAAGGGAGGCGCGATCATTGGTCAGATTTCTGTGTAGGGTAACCAACGCATTGTACTACACGCCCCTCCCCCTCCTCATCCGGTAAAAGCACGGTCCATAGTCGGGGGGCTAGGGTGAGTCTTTAGCAGTATAGAATGCAAAATCCCTTTCGATCGTTGCGTACACAAGAGCTTCGCCGACACAGCCAAACAACGGCGTTGGGTGTATGGAGACACGTGTTCACAGCAACACAACGTCAAAAAGCCAACAGCATTATCTTGTTTCTGGCACGCTCTGCGCAATACAGGTTGTTGAGGCCCTTGCTGCCGAACTTGCGGCTGCCTCTACGAAGGGGGGTGCGGACGGCGACGTTGACGAAACGGCCGACGCCGTCACGCTGGAAACCGTGCGAGACACCGTCGGGGCGGCCTTGGAAGATGAGATCCGCCGCGCCGAAGGAGACGAGGTGCGTTTTGTTGTTGTTGGTGGTGGTGTTGTTGTTTGTGTTGTTGCTACTCTGTTCAAAATGGGTACAAGGTAACCGTCTGGATCTATTCTCCCCTTCTCTTCAAAGGAAACATGTGCATGTGTAAACATGTGCATGTGTTAGTGTTCCTACACTTACCATCGAGTGCGCTTGCGGCCGACCAATAGCAATATATCAGTCTTCTAACGGGACAAAAAAAGACACCATAGGCACACTGTCGTAGTCGGCGGATCTCTCAACAGGACGGCGGCGGAGAACATCGGGGGGCAGAGCTCAGCCTCCGCATCAAAGAGTAGTGTGCGTGTATGCTTGTGTGTGTAGCAGGAAAAACGGTGAGGCGCAAGGCGAAAGCAAGACACGGCGACTGATACGAATCCCTCAAGGTCTCGAGCTGTTATCGGAAGCCTTCTTTCGTCTCGTCTCCATCTTTCAGGAAATACACCAACAGCCCCCCAGACTTTTCTCTCCCTATGTACTTTGTACTTCTCGGTCAACCCCCCCTTATGTCCCATCCATCCCAGGAACAATTCGCACATCAACCCCTTTCCCTTACGATCCATGCACCTCTCGAATGCCCCCCCCTTTCCCCTTGTCAGGACGAGCTGGAGAAGACGGACGTAGACCCTCTCGAGGTGGTGTTCGCGATGGTGCACGGGATCTTCGTCAACGTTCGCTTCCCCCTGGGCGCCACCGGGAAGCCTAACTTCGCCGATGCTTGGTCCGCCATGATCGACAAGTGAGTTATGTACTGTGAAAAAAACACATTTTTTACTTTTTGTACATAGTTTTGTTACAACGGTTGTGGTGTTTTCAGAACCCAGAGCGCAGGAGCCTCTGTGTTTTTTCGTGTGAGTAGGCCACACGGTAGCATGATAACCGCCCATAAGCATAAGGCGAGGATGTAGTCACCGTAATGCACCCAACCGTTTGTGGGTGTAAATAAACGACAGAGAGACAGAGAGAGACACACAGAGAGAGGGGGGGGGGGGGGACTCAGCACTACTTTTGGCAACGGTTGTGAGCTTCCGGGTTGCGTGCATGCTATAGTTGAAGCAGGCGCTTGTTTGAGAGTACGTTCGAAGCGAGGGCTGCTGAATATTCTCGCCTTCAAAGAGATGAAGGGAGGCATGCATGATGCCGCAGAGGAATTCGTCTTCGGCTTCGGGGTGACCACGGATCGGAACTCTTCATTTAGAGAGGCAAGGCCGCAGGGTAGAGGATAAAAACACGAGGGATGGTTGGTGACTAAACTGTCATAAAAGATAATCTAATTATTTAGAACTTGCTTATTGTTGCTGCCCGTCGCCCTGCCGTGCGGACGTGTCGTTCCCCCTCGGGTTATCTCCCAATCACAGGCTTATCCGTACCCGTGCGTTTTGCTGCTCGATACGCGTAACTTCCTCTCAGGCACTCCTTCGACACCGTTTCGGCGGAGTCAGCCGTGCGGCTGTTCAAGGACAGCAAGGACGTCGACGACTGGTACGCCGGCCCCGAGGAGGAGGAGTGGTACGAGACCGGGACGAGGGGTGGCGGGGTGGCGGTGGGCCTGTCCGACCGCCGAGAGTACAACGGCTTCGTGCCTCTCATGGACGAGGGGGACCCGATCAAGACCGCGGTCATGAGGATCTTCTCGGGGTTGCAGGTGAACGGATAAGCCCCGTTGATATATGCATTGCACGATGAAAAAATAATGATAGATCAGAGTAAAAAAGACGTCGGCACTCTCTCGCGTCCCATTCGCCTTCCGAAAGGTTCACCGAGGTTTGTTGTTGTATGACTTTCGGGAAACGTTCACCGCTGTAGTTTGGTTTGCATGTGAGCGTTTAACAGGCTTCGGCAGAAGAAAGCTAGACGCGATGCTCAAGAAAAGAATACGTGTTTGGACAAGGAAAATACTGCATAGTTCGCGACTGGGAAACCGTTGGAAGCGAGGGACTAGACCAAAAACCAATCCATCTCGACGAGCGACGACGCGTGGCCCGATCGGTTCGTACAGGCCGAGCGAGGCTAAATAACAACCCTCCCCCGTCGATAAATGCAGGTGATGAACCTCTTGCAGATGACCGTCCTCGCCGGGTCCCCCGGAGGCTTCCTGCCCAACATGTACCCGGGCATGGTCGCGACCACGCTCGCTCAGGTCATCCGCACTTCGGCGGGGGGGTCTTGGACCGGTGTTGAGGTACGTAGCGATTGAGAGCACATACGTACGTAGGTCTCCATGAATACGCTATTATAGCCTCCATGAACGTTCGAAGGTGTTGAAAAGAGGGGCCTGCAGTGTTTCCCGCCGCCTCTTTGCTACCTCCACGATCGGTGTCATACACTGTAGATATTATTGTCTAGTCGCGGGCGCCCGATTTCGTTGAAACTCTTGTTGGTTTGTATTTCCATCCATCGCCCGTGTTAGCCTATGGTTGGCCAGGCGACGGGGGAGGAGCCGGGATTGCGCTTTGGTCCTTAGATTCGAACCTCGCGATGTCGCCTGACGGCATAGCACGTGGTGGTGTATACGTGATTCTTCGTATTTTTGTCGGACCTCCCTTGGTGTTCTGGCCCGATTGCTAATCTTTGGTTTTCCTCTACGCATGCCGCAAAAGTAGCCATCTTCGGCGCTCCTCCATCACCAAGCCTGCCGGAACAAGAAAACATACAAGAGAAATTGTCATGGCGAACGGTGCACAACGCGTGGCGACGCGCCCTTGCGTTGCTGGTGCTCCGTGTCTGTCCTGCGCCCGTTGACCGTTCTGAACGCACAATGACACCTCAGTGCTTGCTTGCTTGTCTGTCTGTCTGCACACACGCACAAGCAGCGCGCCGCGGGCGAGGCCAACGACCGCCTAGCGTCCCAGATGGTCTTCTCGCTACGGGGAATCATGGGGTCCCCCGCGACGACGGTGCGCCTCCGGCTCAAGGCTGGCAAGGCAGACCCGGCCAACCCGCTGTCGAAGTTCCTCATGGTGCTGTGCAAGCACCCCCGCGGATGCACGAAGGTGCGTTTTCGGGCGGATAAAGTATGCATTGGTGGGCGTGCCGGGGGAAGTTTTCGAGTGCCGTGCATTTTCGCAGGCAGGCCTCTTTGAAGGGTGATGGATGTGGTTTGCAGGGGGGGTATTTGTCTGCTGAGGGAGCGGAGGGATTCTACAATAGTTGCTTGAACGTCGCTGCGTTCGTGGGATGGCCGGAGAAAATTCACGTCCGACTCGGTACGATAGCTTGCGACTCTCCCTTTATAGTGTGGGTTGTCTATGCGATGGTGATGCGAATGCATGTAAAATGCTTTTATCCATATCCCTACCACTTCTCTCTCTCTTTCTCTCTCTCTCTCTCTCGCCCTCTGCCTCTGCTGCTGCGCTGCATGTCGGTGATATCTTCCACATGATGTATTTTCCCCTCTTCTCCATGGACCATCGGTTGCTTTCCCGAGCACGATCCTCCGCTCTACATCTCTCGTGAGGGCATGTGTCTACGTGTGCATCCTCTCTTTTTTCGTTTTTTTCGCTGCTCTAACCCCTGGCGTCATACTTCATTTTTTTTTCCCGTACCAAGGCTGAGGCCGCCTTCCACGCCAAGATGCGGCTTGTGCTGAACGAGTGGGTGGCGGCGACGGTGCAGCTGCACTTCGGGAAGGGTACCCCCGAGAACGACGAACGGTTCCACGCCTTCCTCAAGGACATCGTGCCCCTCGAGGCCATCTTCGGAAAGCGTGCCCTCGACATCGACCCTCTCGAACAACTGCACCCCCTGGAGGTGGTGGGGGGCAAGGACGGGAACGGGTTTGCAGGTGACTTGGTTGGCCGTAACGCTTGGTATGTGTGTAGCGCTTGGTATGTGTGTAACGGTTGCCACCACTGTAGATATACTCGGTACCATTAAACATGGACGCCAACGAATTCGGCTTGGAAAGCGCTCGACTTTGACGATGCTTGTGTGCTTTTGTGCGGGCTGCTTTATTGACGACGAACGCTTTCATTGTTGCATCGATGACTGAGATGGAAGTGCCTCTGAATACAGTGAGTGACTGTTTTTTTTCTCGCGGATTGTTTATGGAACGTTTCGTTTCCGTCGGTTGATGTGCAGCCGTGGACGGGTGGAAGGCGGCCGGCCTGGCTAACCTGGCCAACACCGACCTCTACAAGGACATCAAGCGCTTGGCGGACCGCTGCCGGGTGGTGTTCGGGTGCCTCGACTTGGACTACAACGTTGACGGCATCGTGCTCGACTACGTCATCTACAGGTGAGGTTCTGGTGTTGGCGCGGGAAAGACGCGATGTTCCGAGGCGAGAACGGGCGCCTATTATTTTGTCGTTCGTTGTTTCTTGTCACGGCTGCTTCTCCCACGTTTATGTGTTTTTTCTTCACATCAACCTCCGAGAGGAGAAATTATGAAATTATGAAAGAATCAAAAAGGGTTGGTGTTTCCCGAGCCGTGGTCGCCTGAGCCAAGGCAGGCTTTCACAAGTAGAAAGTAGAGTTGTGCCATCTTAGTGATTCTCTGGCCTTTGTCGAGGAATGCGGCTTGGAGTAGGTAGGTTATTGTTGCTCCGCCAGAATCTCCCCAAGAAGGTGAAACGTTGATGAATCGACCGACAGACATGTATGCACACAGAGGATAGGACGATGTGCGCGAGCTTGTTCTTGGGTTCGATTGGTTGATAACTGCAACGCCTCCCGTTCGAGATACAGCAGGGCAAAAGTGCACCACACTGGTTGTTGAGCCTTCTGTCGTGGGGACGACATACCGTTCACGTGAGGACCGATACAACCCGCCCCCGCTCCGGGAAAAACAGGTTCCGCACCGCTCGATACGACTTCGTCGAAGCGTCGGAATCGCCCGCGTCACCGCCATCAAAGAAATCCAAGTCGGTGGCGTCGTCCGCCACTAGCGCGGTCGACAATGGAAGCCACGAGCCCATCGAGAACATGCCGTCGACCCTGACGCTGCTGGTCAAGGTGCGGTACTTTGTCCCCCACGTGTTGGAAATTTTCCTCTTTCCCTAGTGCAACGTGAGTACTATGTAGAAAAAGCGGCCGTCTTGGACGGACTCAAAGCGAGAGGGGGGGAGTGCGCTGCATTGTGAGTCGGTTCTTTCCATGTTTTCTTCAATCTGTCGACGTACCTCCGGCAACGGCGACGCGAGCGAGACACGCTGTCAACGAAAGTCGGTTGTTGTGTCGGGGTGTTGTTCGGAGACCATGCCCAGACTGTCCTCTCTTTGTGGACTTTCCCATGTACTGTGTACTGTTTCGGTTTCGGTTTCCAGAGGATAAAGCGAAAGCAGCAGTACCGATAAGCGTGCGGAGGACCACACGCCGTCCGTCCAACGATAGATCACGATGTGCCCGAGAAAAGCCGCTGCACGCACACGAAAGAAAATACGATGGGAACGAGTGCTGAATAAAAGCTAACTCCGAAGTGAGAATACAATCGACGACGACACCCAGCACAACGCCCCCAAAGCGCATGTCTCGGTATCTGACCACACTGCTTGGTTCGCGTATCATCCGGTCGTGACTACCTCGTTTCGAATTGCTAGCTTGCCCGTCTTACGTGCGTTTACCTCCGCCCCGCCCGCGCGCTCACCACCCTCGACGAAAAACGACAATTTACAACGGACCAAAATGACGGCAGATCTACAGGAAAGCTATGCACCGCGAGCTGGCGGAGATGCGAGAGTCTCGTAGGGTCCACGTCACCGACCTGCTGAAGGCCCAAGTGGTGTCAGCGCGTGCTGTCACGGCGGAGACTAGGTGCGTGTGATGTTGTGCCTGTGCTGTCTTCTTGAGACGCCTCGCTTTCGAGAATATGGAAATTGTGTTTAATCCCCCATTGTACTGTTGATTTCTCCCGAAGTATCGGAGACGCCAGGGAGGCGTGAACTCAACGGCATCGAATTATCGTTTTTTGAAGAACGTGAGTCGCAAACATGGGTATGTGCCCGTTCCCCAAGGATCACGGGAAACCTCCATCAAGTGGTCACACGTTCCATTGTGACAACAAATTAGGCCATACCAGTACGTGTAAACCCTTCGACAATAGAAATACCAAGGACTGGGTCCCCTTCCTCCCCTCATTTTCACGCACAAAACGAAGGACCGCTTGTGTGTGTCGTCTCGAAATAGACAGAAAGTATCAGAACTTTGACGCCTAGACACCTAGATCACTCGTGCTTGCCAACCCATCGTTCAAACAACAACAAACAACCACCAACAACGTTGGCGACAACAACAACATTTACACCAACACCAACATCAACACCAACATCAACACCAATGCCAACAACGACAATCACGACAACAACAACTAACGACAACCAGCCAACAACCAGCAACGATGACACCAACAACGACCTAGGTCTATGGAGCTCCTCGGTACCAAGTACTCTCTCACGAGGATGGACGTCCCCGCCCTCCTCAACCTGGCCGGCTACGACGGCAACCTGGCCTTCGTCGAAGAGCTCGTGCTCGGAGGCTGGACGCCCGAGCCGCCCCAGTGTCTGCGCCGCTTCTCCGCCGAGATCATCGAGAACGTGGAAGCGGCCGGCGGGGGAGGTGCCGGGGGGCTCTCGGAGAGGTAAGCGGAATAAGGAACTGCTGTGCGTCGGTTGGCGGCATTGGTATCTCAGGAGATGGAATGTAGCGCTGGGGGAGATAGAAGGGAAACGATCGAACCAGCCTAGAGCTAGCTCCGAAGAGCATGGTGCTCGTTTCAAAGTGGTCGGGCGTGAGTGTTCCCTTCCCGGTGTACGTACAAGCGTTGCGTGCGATTGTTGTTGCGGGGTTGATCCAGTTCTGCTCTGCTACCGTGGATACGGCTGAGCAGCAAAGTGGACAGACAGCCGTGTGGCAACCTTTATCGTCGTCGAAAGCTGTGGTAATAAAAACTTGAGGTTGCCGGGGAGCCGTGACACCCTCAGCGAGAGGTCGTATGTGACCGAAACGACAACATTACCCATTCAGAGAAGTTGAAACGCCGCCAACGTTGCACCCCCGCTTGCTCTCCAACACCCGAAAATAGCGAATAAAACCCCATATCTCACTCTCACCCCCCCCCCCCCCTCGCTCTCTCTCTCTGTGAACACAGGTTGCGTGACGCGATCTCTCAGAAGGTGATTTGCCTCCGCACGGCGAGCTGCAACCGCCACGGCCACACCGCCGATCTCCGGTAAGCGTCAGCGCTGTTTAAGCAGCACCAACCTTTGGTCATTTTTTGGACATACGTGTACATAGTACCATATATTTTCCGACCGCAGACTGCTTTTTCGGCGTGCTCAAGGGTGGGGGTAGCGAGGACAACGTTGTTGTGGAAAATACGAACCTTTTTGGGAATCAAAATGAATGTCGACTCCAGCATGCAGGGCGTGTGTCGCCAAGGTAAGCGGTTTGTCAACTTGACCCAAACGACCTAATCCATGCCGATGCCCCTCCTGCCCATGACCCCCGGCGCATGATGTGACATAACATCGGCTCTCGAAGATTCCCTGGGCCGATGGGCTGGACCAAGGAGTACGCCATGGTTCGCCGGTCCAACGTGCTGAAGAAGCGCGGCCGCGAGGAGCCTGTCTCGGGCCCGGTGCAGAAGATCGTCCCGCAGATGAAGCGCTTCACGGAGTTTGGCACAGAGGTATGCGTTTTGTTACAAATGACCGATGAGGAGATAGAGATAAGCGTTCAAAGGGTACAGACAGCAGTACCCACGGACCGCCGCAGGTTAGGGGCATTCGGTGCGACGTGATAGTGATCAATATTGCGTCCCCAAACAAACCTGAAAAATTGCAAATCCAATACAAAAGCGAAACACACATACATGTTTATTGTGTATGTCAGCCACATGTTTCTTGGTGCGTGTGTGTTCGACGGGGAAAGAAGTGGGTATCACCTTTCGCGAACCAAGCATCGTCGTGTAATGTGGCGGTAATATGTTGTTGCTGTCGCCTTCGTGAAGATAATATCGGGCTGTCGTCTCCGTAATAAATGACAAGCCTCTAGCTTGTTGTTTTCACGAAACCGTTGTGCAGACATTCTAACCTGCGTGAAGATTGCAAGAACAGGCAAATGAGACTGAGTTCAGGTCGCGGTACAAATCAGAACACTTTTTCCGTCCAAGGTTACCCGTCGGCGCCGCTTAAAACGGAATTGTACCGTACGGCACTGAAAGACGACAGCAACAAGAGAGACACCGAAAATATTCTGAACTATCCCCCCCTCTTTTCTTCTCTATATATGTACCGCATGTATGTATTATTGGCAGCTCCTCCGCAGGCTAGACGAGTATGGCGATGGCAACGGGGAAGAGATCGCGCTCCTTCCTCCTCCTCCCCCGCCCACGGCTGCATCGGGCAAGAAGGCGAAGAAGGCCAAGAGGCGAGAGGCACTTGGCGACGACCCCGTGGTGGTGGTGACGCTGGACCAGCTGAAGAGGGACGTGCGGCGCGTGTTGTACTCGTACGACGACGCCAACTGCCTCCCGGTCGTTCAGAGGAAGATCGTCAAGCTGGGCGTCCCGATGAATCTGCTCGACGGCCTGCTGTAGAGCAAGTTGTGTTTTTCTTCAGACAAAGTAGCCGACATAAACGGGGGCAAGATCTATGTGAAGAAAAGTTCAAGACACATAGGCCTACTAAATCGAAAATCGGGGCCCGTGGGTGTGGGGGGATGATTCGGGGTGGGGGGGGACTCTAACCTTTGGTATAAAATTGCGTCTAAGGGGCATCGTAGATAGAAATCCCTTGCAGTCGGGGGGTCAATGACTTATTTTCGTGAACGAAGCCCCCTATACGAATTCCTACATAAAAACAGAAATCGAAAATGCCCTCTCAGGGGGGGGGGGAGGGTGGCATATTTATGTGTCCGGATGTTTTTTTCACATAGATCCTTGACGGGAGGGTTAGTGTTGTTTTCGTTGTTGTTGTTGTCGTCGTTGTCGTTGTTGGTAGTGTGTACTGTTGTTGTCACGGGTCGTGTTGTTGGTGATAGCGGGGGGTATAGACAACCACGAATCTATGAAATACGGCAAAGCTAAGGTATTCTGGCGTATACATGGTCTGCCCGCGTCTGTCTGCCGGAAAAGGTCAGTAATGCGTTATAGTGATTCCCGGGCATGCGATGGAACTTCATGTGCAATGGTATCGACATGTGTGTGTGCATCTTGAACAAGGTAAGGTAAATAGCCAACGCAAAAACAAATACTGTTTTTCAAGAGCTGAACACGGTGTGAAGAATGCACACAAGTAAAGTCTTCGCCCATTTTGTGCCTACATGGAAAACCCCTGCAAGCCGTACGCACGCGTGTCATCCCCGAACTACAGTCAGTACAGAGGGGAGACACGCGTGTTTCGTCGCCAGTTGTCTCTGAGCATCATTGTTTCCATTCCTTAGGTATTAGCGTTTTGTGTCTGTATCATTGTTGTTTTGTTCGGTGCCGTTGTATTCCGATCTTGTGTGATGTTGTTTCATGGTTCCTTTGTTTTGAAAAGTTGAGTGTGGAGTGCATCGATCGATCACGTTTGATCGGTTGTTGTTGTGCGTGACGCCCTCAAGTGTGCCGTAAGCGGGGGGTAGGGCGTTTTCACGACGATTAGTTTTCCTGCTAGGGTCTTGTACTCTACTGTATAGACTACGTTGCTTGCTCTATCTATCGATCGATCGATGTGTAAAGCTGGTAAGCACATGAGCGACGAAGAGCAAATAGAAGGTAGAGGAGGGAGGGATGCGGTAGACAACCCGTGGATATGCCCTACCCAAAGCCACACAAAAACAATGCATAAACTTAATCAGTTCATTTTTTTAACGTCTCTCTCTGTGACATCGAAGATGACGAAGAGGCGTTCATTTCTTGATGGAGAGAGAGGGAGGGGCGGGAGACGTCGAAAGTTTGACCGGAACCTAGCATAAGATTGAAAAGTACGCCCATAGTGGCCGCCTTCGAAGAAGAAATTTGAAAAACTTTGAGATAGTGGCACGCACGGGGGGGAGGGGGACTTCGAGGGGGACTAAAAAGTCGAAAACTAAGGGGGGGGGGATTGGCGGCGACGGCGGTTGCTTCCGAACGGCGTTCATTGCGGATATAGTAAGGGGAAAGGACCGGGCGCCTGGAGGTAAGAAAGTTAGGGGGGGTTGGCAATTAGCATGGCAAAAAACCTTCTTCGATAAGGAAAAGAGTAAGTGTAAGGTGCCCAACGCTCTAGAGTAAGTGTGCCCCTGCTAGGCAGTCAGGTTGCCCTCCTCGCCCCACGTTCCACGCCTGGAGTGGTTGTTGTTGTTTGTTGTTGTTGCTGGTGTTGTTGCTTATGATCGTGTTGTTGGTTGTCGTCATCATGGTTGTGTTCCTCTTACACTACCGTGCAGCCTCATTGAAAGTCTGTTCCCCGACCGTTAAGAGACAGAGATGACTTATTCACCCTTCTCGTGATACTTATACTACGCTCGAACAAAAGATAATGGCAAGATGGAAACAGCCAACGAGAATGAAAACATCATGGCGCTTTTGAGGCCAACACACGAGGTCTAAACGGCTCTACCTTGCGTTGAGGGTTTTGCGTGAGGCCGGCCGGAACACGCGACCAGAGAAGAATCACGTACAGAAGGCGTGCCCGCCATGCTCCTCGAGCCCAGCGTGAGGGGGGCATAGGAATTCTGCGCCTCGCGTCGGGGGGGGCGTAGGGATTCCTGCAAGTACGCACGCACAAGTGCCCCTAAAATCCAAAGCAACGTCAAGGTCTGGCGCGCCTACTTCCCTACAACTGCGATGAGACAACTCGGTACCAATGCCGAAAGCCTGCAAGCGTGGGCGGGCGGGCGGGCGGGCGGGCGGGCGAAACTCGACGACTTGTGCTCCGCACGGTCCGCGGGTGCTGTAGAAACCATCGTTGGTAGGACATGCGACGGCCAGCACGGGAAATTTATTCGACGGCGCCCCTAGACTCTTGTCGATTTAATCCACAGATTGCCGTGTGCTACGGAAAGATGATAAGTTTTAAGTCGTTTTTATTGTTAACCGCGGCAGAAGACCCAATTTGCAAATGGGGAATTCGCAACAAGCAATCCATACATACAAATAAGCATACAATACCCTCTCTTGGCCGTTTCCCACAGTTTGGTCTGCCTAGAGGCCGAAGAAACGCGTGGGACCCGGACGGCGCAAAATAACACTTGGAACAAAAAAAATCAGCAGTGCGAGCGTTTACGAACACCTCCTCGCACACCCTTCCCCCTTGCTTCCATTTCCATTTTCATCGTATATTAAATCCCATGCGTTGACGCTGTCTGCCACAAAAAAAAAAAACGTAGATTGCCTCCAGATTTTTCTTGTGCGACAATGTCCCGCTGCCCTTCTGAACGTGCCCCTTTTGACAGCAGCAGACAAAAAAAGCAAAATGAATACCGAAAATCGTCACAATCCACAGCAACCCTTGTGTGACTAAGTACAATCGTCCTTTGCTGCAAGCCCTCCCCCTTTTCCGTCGTTGTTTCGGAGCACGTTCACGCGCAACAGCCTAGCCGCTCAAGGCATCTTCTGGTCAGCAGGGGGGCGTCCATTTCACTTGCCCCAGTCTCTGCAGCTTTTTGCCGACCAGTTGTATTTCCTCTATACGTCTAATGCATACAATGCTGCCATGAAATTT